TAAAGAGGATCTCGGCACAGCGGCCACATTGGCCACAATCGATAGCCGCGATTTACTGGTGGCTCTGAAGCAGAGTAGTGTGTTCAATGTGAGTTCGTTGAATGGCTTTTCAGCTGGGAAATGACTCGTGTTAATCGGTGACACAAAAGTGTTTTCCAGATAAATTCATGTTTTGTCATGAACGCTATCAACATTACAGCACTTATTTTATTGCTAGCTATGAACATGTCTTAGCTTCTCTGAAAAGTACTCAATCGGCTTGTGAGATTGGCTGTTGTAAGGAACTCAGAGAGGCTCTGATCCGATGTGAATGGATCTCCTCAGGCCAGATAGTTGCAATCATGAATAAGTGCAGCAAAAGTACAAGTAGTACGTTGGCAAGTCAACGAAAAGCCAGATGATTCAACACGTGCTTTCATGTTTTGAAGATTCATGTTTTGAAGACGCGTGCTTATCGCTGTACAAGCTGAATGCACATGCACTATGCTGATTCGAATTTTCCTCAAAAAGATAATTTTCAACTCCAAATTTTCTCCGCAAACCTAGAAATGCTACCCAGTTTTCAGCCACGAACGTCATATCGAGTATTGAGCAATATAGATGGAACGAATGTGTTCATGTCATCATCACAATTTTCCAGGAATTATAACTACTTATGCGAATCGAGTAAGATTCACTCGGACACTATCAATTCATCATGAGTGTGCTGGATGCAATCCCTTAGTAATAAAAACAACCATGGCAGTGCTGTTCCATCCTCCTTAACAATTTCATCGATATCACATCTTTTAAGCTCATCAGAGAACATCTGTCGTGAAAAGAACACGATTCAGCATTGGATTTAAGAGATTTTTTAAAGATATTCTAATGAATCGGAGTTTTCCGTTTGCATATGACTCCTGATTTGATCATCTTGTATAACGGAATAGTTTTGGAGCCTATCAAAGGAATTGTTTTAAAGGAGGCAAGGAGAGATGCCCGGAAGGATTCGAGATGTGGAATGGTAAATGCTATCGATTCTTCAGCGAGAAACAAGGCTTCGAGGAGGCCGCTGAGACGTGTGCACAGATCAGCGCCTACTCAACTCTGGCAAGTGCTGAAGACGAAACAACGAATCGATTCTTGTCGAGTACGTTACTGAGTTTTAATTTACCTTCCAGGTAGGGTGTTCTCAAGTTTGCCGGTACTAGTGTGGCATCAGATGTGCTCATTTTTTTTCCATTCCGAGTCGCCTGAAAGATCAAGTCAAACGAGGATTAGCTCACTAGGATCAGATTTATCGATGTCGAGTGAAATCTTGTTTAGATCTCAGACAGATCATACTTACCACAAATTCACATGCGGCTAAGGATGGCAGAGAGGGAGACGGAATGCATTCCCAACCTTTTTTTTTCTGAATTTAGATTAACAAATTCATTCTTTCTCAGTCTGGAACAAT